CATTCATTTATTACCCCAGTAACGGTTACGCGAATCTCTGCTAGAGTTAGCGACTGACTCGCCGTTACACCGTTACATGAGTAATAATGAAAAAAATAACTTTAAATGCTGTTATCTATCTGAAACGAGACTTTAATATTTGTAAATGCACTAAAGATTTTATGGTCTACAAACCTTAGAATAGAAAATATTATATAGTAAAGGCCTCATCAAAGAACATTATTAAGGGAACTAGATGTCTAAGGTGTTGTATACCAAGTAAAAAACGTGTTATACCTAACTAAAATTATCCAAGTATAATACAAGGAAATATTACACAGAAACAAAATATGACTCAACCCAAAGACATATACACAGCACCGAAATGTAGTCAATAATGGTTTAATATTAATATTTCAAATAAAATTGCACTAGAACAAATTTACGAATAGTATACAACACTTTATCAAATAAAGTATGGGAAAATAGTACTACAGTAACAATGTACCGATGATCTAATAACTTACAGAAGTCAAGGATAAAGGTGGTACAGTATGCGTTTTCCTACAAAACATTGCTGTAAATATTTGTGTCAAATGCAATGAATATGAAACAAGTCATAAGTTTTAATTTTACAAGCATTTTAAAACTCGGTACTTATATTGTTTAAATGAACACAAAAATATATGCTGCGAAGTAAGAGCTAATATTGACCCACCTTACATCATCCGCCGACCAGATTTCTTTGTTAGAAGTACAAAGAAAATAACATGAGCAACATGTAAAATGATTCATAAAGATCCGGAAGAATTTCAAAAACAATCCCAGTATCCCAGATCATTTTCGAGAACTAAAGTACGTAGATCTTATTGAGTAAACTCTAAATTATTCTCGCTCGGATCTCTGATATGTCAACATGTAGTAAATCGATGAAGTAATTATGGGAATGTGCATGCCGCTTGTATCCAAAGAATGTCTGTCTAATATTTCTTAAACTACTCTCATTACCTCACCAAGAACGGCAGTTCCGAAATATTTCCCATAGCACGTTGTGGGTTACACAGCCATGCTACGATTTCCAACATGTTGTGGGGAGTACACGGCCATGCTTGCTTGTTCCTCGACACTTCTAAGAGAGGTGAGTAAATCGTGCTTACTCTACCGGCATGTCGTGGGGAGTGCACGGTCATGCTTCTTTAAATGGCACGTTGTGGGGTACACAGTCGTGCCTTCCACTTTATCAAACTCCTCGATTCAAACTCAATGCACTACACATATTACGAAGTGCCCAAATTTTTTCTAATTTCCTATAACACGTGGGGGATACACACTGTGCTCTCAAATTCCGAAATATTTATTGCTGCTTGAAACTGATTGGCAGCAGATGAAGAGTATCGTTATGCGTGGTGTGCTATTCGAGCATTCATGGCTTTATTTTTATTTCTTACATAATCGCACAAGTCTTGATTCATCAATAAATCATCATTACATCATTTTCGCTTCATCACTCACACATAAAAAAATGCAACCATGTCCCGATCCTCGCGATAATGTGACTTCGTCTCGGTCGGTTCTATTTTGAATTTTGAAAATTTTTTTGGAAAAATCGAAAGAAAATTTCTCAGACCCGCATCACATAATATGTATATCGAAAGCAATAAAAAAAATTGTTCTTCCTGTTTACATACCATATGTTTTTTTTACAAAGCAAAATGTTGTTCCTATACAAATTCCCGCAAATTACTTGTTTGTCTAACATTATTTGTGATCTAGTTTTACTTATTATCGATACTCTATATAAAAAAATTTGATTTTTAGCTATACTGTACTTTCCAAATTATAAAATGTCTAGATCAAAAGATTTTTTTAACCCCGGTACAGACTAATTTAATGAAGATATCTTTCCCGCCAAGATAATTTCGATTAAATAATGTGGGCATTATACTTTTTTACGATAAACAAATCGTTAACCTTATTTAACTTGATTTGTACTTACAGATACTGTACTGTATATGGCTTACATACGTTTATTTTGTTACGTCATAGGATCATCTATTAATAGTTCTACAGTACTCCGGTTGCGCATCGACAATTAAAAATACCACCTTTGAACATATCAAGAAACTGGTATGGCTCATCAATAACAGAGCCAATGAGCTGAAGGCATAGAAGTTTGAACCTCCAACTAAGAGAAGTTAACGAAGCTTTACAAGAGCCTTCGTAAAGTTATTGAACCCAGTAACTAGCTGAGGCCAATTACGAATCTTTTAACAGAATTCCCAACTGATCATACTTGTTTACCGTATAGCAAAAAAATCGATCTAATTTTTTTTGTAAGCTAGTGTATATAATTATTCGATTTAAAAGAGAAAAAGGGACATTAATAAAATTACCAGATGTTGATAAGTCCTTTTAACACAAACTCAAAATACACGCCTTTTTTGCGCCTTACCATTCTGTAAACTTACCTGAACACCTGACCGAAAGCATCGCGAAGTTGAGGATAGTAAAATCCTGATCCACAACACTAAATATAAATAACATTATACACAATGAGTGAATGAAAAGGAGATACAGTACTTTGTCGAGTGTATCCCATTTATATTATTTTCAATTACGATTAAATTTTATTTTAAAAGATATCCACTTTCCTCCTAAAAATTATACTTTAGATTACGGCCATTGCTTCTTCCAGTAAATTATTTCATAATTAATAATCAGAGTGTATCCTTGCATTTTCTAATTCTCCTAAATCATAATGAATATCTAAATTTATCAGGGTGGTATTCTTTCATAGTGTCTCGGCTAGTGTTTTTACTTTCTCCTAAATTATTAAAGCCGATATCTAAATTAGTCAGGGTGGTATTCTTGTGTAGTGCTTTTCCTCCAGGATATACTCTACAAATTTAAATTGGTCAGTATGATATTTTTGCACTGTGCTTCGTTAGTGTTTTTTTCTCCCAATTCTAAATTATTAAAACCGATATATAAATTAGTCTGGGTGATATTCTTGCATAGTGACTTGGCTAGTGCTTTTCCTTCCAATTCTCCTAAATTATTACTCTGTAAATTTAAATTGTTCAGGATGGTATTCCTGAATAAGGATTCGGCTAGTGCTCTTATGGTTTATTTTTCCATACTGCTGTTGGAAATATCTAAATTTGTCAGGGTAGTACTATATATACAGTATATTAACGTCTTTCCTGTCAGATAATCTGATTTGTTTCTACCCAATCCTCTAATGCTCACACTGTATTGGCTTCGGACTTACGATAGTTTTTATTTCTTAGTAGATAAAATCGCGTTATGCGTTGGCTGATTTATTTAGTTAAATGTTTAACAAATTGTCTCGGATAGTATACCTACAGTATAAATGAGTCTCTAATATTATCAAAATTACTAAAAAATATCGTTAATTAATATCCTTCTCATATTTGCGATATATAATAATACGCGTCATAAAACATTAGGCAACCAGGTCTTCTTGTACGGATTTATATTTAATATCTAGATATAATAAAATTCAATTATTAGCTACATTCCTTATATCTTATTTATAATATTTTAAGTTTTACAATACCTTCCAAGGACCTTCTATCTTCTTTAACGAATAAAACATTTACACGTTAACCTTATTATTAAACTGATCTTAATGACTACAATTATATACTGTAATACTTACCGTGGGAATTAATTATGGGATTTAAAAATCTACTTGTATAATACACTTCGAAGTTTCCAGCGTCAATATTTTCTTTGATTTTTCTTTCTTCTATTAAATTTTTTCGATATTTCTCTGCAGAAACAAAGCTCTCTTTGTCCTCTTTATCCAGAAGCCATCTACAGTAGTCAGCTACTTCATATGAAGTCTATAAATGTGGAGAGAAATTTATTATAATGTCCGAGCACTGCGAAGGACATTTGAAAATGGATGAGCGAGGTAAGTAAAACTCAGATCATATGACTTGGCCTGTTTTATTTGGTTTCAGCCAACATGTGGCACAGAATAATTATAATCATTGCTTAATACGTCACAAATGAACAATCCTAATCTATTGTAGTATATACAGTATATGTACATGACACGATCGTTTCTACCTAGGCCGTTAGTTCTTGAGATCTTGTTTAACCTGTCAGTATAGTCGAGATAATGGTTGTGCAATATCTTTGAGACTTCCGGGATCAAAATAATATGTTAGTTGTGCTCTCCTTAGCTTTGTGTTTTATGGATAGGGTAGGTGGCGAGAAATTCTGATCTTCGTTTTACTTACCTTGCTCATCCATTTTCAAATGAATGGCTAGACCAATTACCCATCACGAGGATGGTGAACAGGTCTGCTCCAGAGTCCTGGGTGTAGAATGCTGCTAATGATCTAGTGTGCTTGGCCTTCAGCTTGGAAGATACTACGACAAGAATTTCCTTGATCTAATATGCAATGATATCCGTAGTGACAGATGAGTGATCTTTTATTGAAATGAAAAAGAGGGCAGAAGAACCCATGACCTGCCAATACTCTGTTCTCAATAGAAAAGCTTGAAAGGTGTCTAGTGGGGAGATTTCTGGTAGGTCTTCATAGCAATCTATATATGTACTCTTATTGCTCAGTTTTGTACCCTGTGTAACAAAGAGATATTGTGCTCCTTGAGGTTTATAATGTTTAAGACCATACTACAGTCTGTGGGTTTTATAGAGACTATGTCGATCTGAGCTAGATTCAAAAGATGGCTAGCAGTAGTAATAGCGAGTAAAAAAGTCGTCTTTTATAACAACTGCAATACTGGCATGCTGTCATTGCTTCAGAATGCTCACATCTTATCGAATGATAGGACCAAATCAATTGTCTCATCAGTAGAAAATATCAGTGAATTCTTCTTAAATATGGCCTTCATTGCTCAGAATATATCAAGGTACGAACTGCTTAGAAGATTGTTCACCCATTTATGCACTTTGCTGATAGCTAACCTGTAATCTGTAATAGTATTGTAAGCCATCCCTGTCTTCAATTGATCATCGAAGAACTCGATCATTTGTTTGATAGGACAGATAATGGAATCGAGGTTTCTTCCACTGCACTAATGGATTCATTTTTTGATATTAGACAAAACTGTCCTAAAGGCCTTCTTGTCATTTGCTAATTAACAGAAGTCGATAGCTTTTTTGAAAATCTCTTGGATAATAGTTTACGTCTAATATAGGTGCTGCACAAATTCTCTATTTTCTTATTTTCATGAATTATGCAATATTTCCTGTCAAAACTGTTGCATCGGGTGGCAAGAGAATTGAAGGAGCTATCATTATGGAGAGTAGAAAAGAAAACCATGGTGCTGAGAACCAGAGGGAAAAAACTAGGACTATCTCTATCCCCTCCTTTCTTACCTTCTCTAGCACCTTCAAAAGAAGAATTCATGGCAGATTCATCCAACATTTCCAACCCTTCCATGATATCAAGAAAGCATTTGTGGCCCATGCTTTGGGGTTCTTCTTCCATAACACAAAGCTCATCATCTTGTTGTTCCATCTGCTTGCGAATAGGTTTATATTGCATCGACTCCACATCATTTGGATTGTCTCGAATACTAGTGGCAATATTGACTATCTGTGTCTGTCCTAACCTGGTCTTGAGGCTTGATCTGCCTGAAGATTAAACGATTCAGGAATATGTTCTGCTGTAAATGTAATCTCTCATAAAAGGCATATTTTCCAGATTTTCTCTGCTAACAAACTTATCTTCTGGGATATGATTCCTTCCTGATTATTCAAGTAAGCCACTGTCATCATATTGTCGCTTCTTATCAGAATTGATGTCTTGTTCAGGATCTTTCAAGCTAAATGAGCCTTCTTCACCACTGTTAACTTTAGGAAGTTTATATAATTACTAGCAAGATCCTGGCTCCATTTTTTATAAATTGACTGACCATTTAGAACGGTGCCTAACCTATCTTGGAGGCATCTGTGTATATTATCATTGCAAGATCCTACCGAATTAAACTCCTTCTATTTTATGTTCTCAATTCTTTCACTCATCTCGTGAGCTGCAGCTTGCTTTTCTTGGATAGTGATAATATTGCCTGCTATCCACTCTTCCAAATAGCTCAATTTTTGTCTCTCAACAAGGTGCAGAAAAAAAGTCTTGTCAAAAATACTATATTAAATGTTGCATTTAATTTTCTCAGCATTGCAGCTAGCTTGTGTATATGTACTGTGTTTTTCTTAATCAAATCTTAGCATTCTTTTATTATGTTTTTGATATTTTCTGGTGGTATCGATATTGATAGGTTTCATAAGTCTATATTGAAACCACAAAACTCTATTATCATCATCGGTTTCGTAATTGACTTCTATTTGTTAATGACGAATCCTGTCTTTGAAATCCACAGACCTGGCGCATATGTTCTCATGCCTCTTTCTTTGTGCCAGTCATAATGAGAATATCATTTAGGTAAACAATTAACCTAATTTCTTTCATCTTCGATACCTTCATTACCAGCCTGAGGACTTTGGTGAAGATCTACAAACTTGTGGTAAAACCAAAGGGTAAGGCCTTAAATGCATAACGTGAACCTTGAAAGTTGAATGTGAAGAATTTGTAAACTTCCAGGAAAAGAAATATATGATAAAATACAATTTTTATATTATTTTTATAAAATAATTTTCTCTCTTTACTAACAAATTTACTAACGAGATGTTTTCTATCTTGAAATGTTGGTGGGTGACAAATGAGTTTAATTTTCTCAGGTTGACTACAGAACAAAATTCTTCTAACCTTTTTGGGATCAGGAAGATTCTTGAAGTAAAGCAAGGTGTGTCCGAAGGGAAGTGAGTAATTACTTCTTATTTGTGCATGGAGTGGATTTCTTCCTTCAAAGCACCTGTTTTCCTAGTTTCATATGCCATTCTTGAAATAGGTTGAACCTCTAGAGAGGGAGCTCTTGCTTATGCAAGCAAGTATCTATTCTTCAAGAAATTCATAATCCACAGCTCATTGAATGTTTTTGACCAGATCTGATAAAAGTTCTTGAGCCTTGCATCGACCCTGTCCCCTACTGGTTGTGTTGTCGTAACTGGGGCTGAGGATCGGGTTGCTGAAAATCCTGGTTCTTTTGTTACAAACCAAAACCTTTGTTGTAGCCCCCCTTGTTTTGTTTGTTCTTATAACCTTGATGCTTTA